GGGTTTTTGTGCATCTCAGGATTGAAGTGGAACATTGACATCATATCTTGTGCAGAGGGCAGAGAGTCTTTGCTCCAAGGAAACAAACAGGTTTCAATGAGGCCAACACCCTCATTACCCCACATCACTGTGAGCAGAAAAAACACCACGATTAACGGTACGATAAACCAACTGACTAGTAAATCAAGAAGGCAATAATATGTTCAGTTTCCACAATGTGAAGTGATCAGGTATTTATTTGTAAGGCTGTCATTAAAATTTCAAGTTGCTGGGTAAACAATATAAGTAGGCGGGGAATCAAACAGCTGGGATACTGTTTGGTTCTATATTTCTTCCATTTTCCTACTAAAGTATGCGGGGATAACGTTCACACTAGCCAGGGAAAATCCCTGGTCCCCGGCTCTTAATGAAAGCCTTGTATTTGCTACCAGTACTTCTATGGAATGGGAGCTAGGTGCTTGAGGTAATTAATATTTCACTAGTTCATATTTGCCATCCCTAGATAAGGGGGAAGCAAATACAGTGAACTCACTTGGGTAAGAACTGAGAATGTATTATTGCTGAAAGGCAAGTGACAAGGGAAATATGCAACAGTCAGAAATCAACATTAATGGGAGATGTCTGTTACTGGAGATTTGGCTGTAGTATATTATTGTGGGGAGAGAGTGCTCATGTCAGCATCACAAACATTCTTTTAATTATTTTTTGCTCGTATTAATAAGCCTTAAGGCAATGACTTTCACTAGAACACTGTACTTCCCATAGTGCAAAGGAAATGATTAGTTTGTTTAAGTTTAAAAAGCATGCAACATCACTTTGATAGTTTGAGAGTAGTACATTTAATTTTGGATAGAAGCACTTACTACAGTCTAATCGTAGTTCCTCTGGTTCTGCCGCCTTCTGTATCCTAGACAGAATGTAAAGAGCACGACAGAAATCTTTATACCTCAGCTCACGATGTGTCTCAAGTTCATATTCTGCTAAATGAACCACTCCACACTTCCAGCGCTTGGGTGGATCAGCAAAGACCCAATAATTAGGATCACCCATACACGCCCAGTAACAAAACCAATTATCAGGATCGGTCCACATGTTTAGAAGACCTGATGGCTGCTCTTCAAGTTCCAGGTTAAAATGGCTTAATACATATCTTTTATAAAACTGCTCTGATGAAAGAAGTTCCTGAAATAAAGAGAAATATTAAGGCAACATGGATTAATGGATCAGTATAGATGATGATGTGGATCAGTATCTGTCAGTACAAATTTTACAATTCAAAGTAGACAGACTGCAAATTATATTAGTTGCTAAAAAATATATATCTACGTGTAGCTACTGTTCATCAACAGTTTTGTTTAGATTTGCCAGTTTGGAAGGGTCACTATAACAGCATGAAACCAATTATTACTGTGGGTGGGTAACAGTCCCCTTTCCCCATAAGAGATACATAGACCACACAACTGGGGCTTGACATCCCCTACTCTAAATGAACAATGGGCAGAGTGGGTACTCTTACATTCCCTACCACCTGACAGGGGACGTACTGATAGAGAGACAAGATCTCAAATTACAGTCAGAGCGATCTTACCAGTTATTTTTTAACACCATGTGTGGTTGTTGGTCTGACCAGCCAAGTTTGAACCCACACCCTTCTGCTTAGCAGACCAGCACTCTACCAGCTGAGCTAACTGGGCAATGGTGGGTGAGAATATAATTATATTACCTTACGACAGAAATGGAGGCTAATATTACCTAGACAGCAGTGTTACTTGCGAAAACAAGTTCTCGAGATGGGTTGATGTAATCTTATAGTATTTTTGTGTATTTCTTTCTGTCTCTCTCAAAGTTTCAAATGTTATGTTGCAAGGACAGCTGGTCAAACCCCCTAAAAAATTAGACTGAAATGTTACAAATATGAGATAAAATTGCTCATAAAGAATTAATTCAACTCATTAAAATATATTTTAATAATTTATGTGTCTACAATAATTTTGGCTTGGGATCTCTCAATAATAATTGACAGCTGCTCACCTTCCATAGCTTGCAAACTTGAATGCATCTGCTGACATCTGGAAGTGGCAAAAACAGAGCAATTCTCTGTACCAGCTCGGGCAACAGAATTGGTACTTCTCTAGATGCCATGATTCTGGTCATGAGGCTCTCAAAACTTTGCCATTACTCTAAAAAAGCAGCTACCGGTACCTTTACTGCAGAAAAGTAAAAAACAAAAGTATTACCCCAAGGATTATTTTTGAGAAAAATGGGCACCATTTAGATTTGGATTTGTTGGGCTTAAAAATTTCTAAGTCACTTCCTACACATAATCTTACAAATTACTTTAATCAGGTCAGCAGTTAGACAGGTGGATATTTTTTAATTAGGGGGTCCAAACTTTGGTTCAGAAAGGACTGTTGAACTTTTTTGTGGCAAATTACTTCTCACAGAGATGACCATGTGTTTCTCAATCTGTAAATGTTGGTCGGCATTGGCATTTAGTCAAATAGCCTGGTTGGGGAAAAATGCACAAAGCAATAATTTATGTTGACCCAAAAATTCCAATAAAAATCAGCCTACAAAGAAAGTCGTGTCCAATAGCCCGGGGCTAGTGGATTTTGCTGTTGGGCTAGTGATTTTTGTTCTTAACTTGCACAACGGGTTTGAGCTGTTTTTCATGGAAATTCAAATTACAGAAGGATTGTAATCAATCCTGCTAATCAAAAAGGGTTTTGGGGCTAATTGAAATGACTTGTGGGCTAGTACATGCTAGCTACAGCTTGCCCGAATGACAGGCTGTAAAACTGACTTTCTTTGCACCCTGAAAATCTGGTCCCACTATCCACCAGCACCATCAATCGTCCCACACAAAATTGAAAATACCAAAAGGCCACCAACCACATCAACCCTGTAATTTGCAGTGATCAAAAGTCACAAAACTCATGAAGCTGAGACAATATTTAAGTTTTGTCGCCATGCGACCAGAGCCTTCCCCTCGGGTATTCAAGTAAACCAGTGCTCAGCTGATGGCACGGTCTACATTGTAGTTTAATGAATTTGTTTCACCGGCCACGAGGTGAACATTTCTGTCAAAAAAAAAAACAGATAAAGGCCAGAAAAGTGTCTTCGATGTATGATAGTTGCTGTATAAACTATAATTGTGTTTTAATTAAGCCACGAGGTCCTGCGATTTACGTATTTCTAGTATAGTTTTTGATTACACTCACCTTGAGTTGTCGGCCATATTGAATTGAACTTGCACCTTGTACCCAGTCTCTCAGCGAGGCGTTCTTTTTGGGGGGCGAGCGGGTGGTGGTGGGGAGCACGAAAGTTGGAGAAACCGTAAAGGAAGAAATAAAGAAACCTCCCCTCCCCTACGCTTAGTCAGAGTGTGCAAAGAAGGCGTAGCTGGTGGGATATTTGTCGTCGCTCGGGGTACTTTTTTTGGGATCCTACGAATTCAACTCCGGGGGGAGGGGGGGTGGGGTTCACCTACTTTTGCTAACTGGATAGGCATAATACAAAATGCAGCAATCTCAGTAGGCTAGATTTCCGCCGCTCTCTCAAGTCCTGTCTTTGTTCCTCCCGGTTCACTTTCCCGAACAGCGGCTGAATTGATCGAGCCTGTCATCTTTGTACATGCATGTGGTTTTTATCCGACCTCGATCTCATGTTGACGCAACTAGGAGCTGCTCGTAAGGTCATTGCTGATTCGTTCTTTTAAACAAAGGTAATTAATCGTTTATTATTGTTTTCCGGTTTGGGTAGCAAACCAATTGGCTTTCAGCTTCCGAGCAGCTGCTACATACCCAGAAAAGTACAGGAAAGATTTTTGCGAAAACATTATCACTGTTCTTAACTGGAATATCTAGAATGTTTTAATTGGCGAGAAACATTTCTGGCGTTTACAAAATACCATTTTTTATTGTTTAAGCCGCATATCGACTTTTTGTTTTATTTCGACCCAACCAAGAGTCAACCTCGTTCCCAGGTTCTCTCCCCTATCCTCTCGCTCTCGCTCCGTAGGGACGGGTAGGAGAGAACCCTGGGAACGAAGTTGACCAAGAGCCATTACGGCTCTTGGCCTAACGTATTAATTTTCCTGGAAAGGAATGCTAGATTGCAATGTCTATAAGATAACTCTTGGACTAACAGCATTCTGAACCTCTGGTATACCACAGAGTAAACTTGTTAGCTTCATCTTTTTACCGGTCCACTCAGCAAAGAAGACAACATACCTTTCCCGAAAGGATAAGTTCAGCATTATTGGCCACTTGAGAAACGAAAAAGGAAATGCGTCCCGCAGTTGTTTCTGGGTTCGTCACTGGGGACGCGGCCGTCAGCTATCGGCCAATTTTTTTCCCTTTCCCTAATAATAGTCCCAGAAGTCTTTGCGAAAGTTAACTCGGTCCAGCCACTGTCTCTTCTCGTTTCTAAAAAGGCGAATTGTAGTAGAAAATACTACAACATTATCTTCGTGGCTAAACGAAAAAAGTGAATAAATAAAACGCAACGATTGACGTTGTGTGAGAGTAATCTGTTTGACTAGGAGATACATTGGTGAGTTTAAGCAACCAAAACGAAGTGAACATCAAAAACGTAAACAGTATAAAAAATTCGGCTTCTTTCAAACTTCAACGCGATTATTCGAACTCGCTTATCTTGCCGACTAAAAGCGAATTTTTATGGAGGCGTTTCAAATGAAAAAAACACAGAAATTGAGATAATTTCGCTGTTGTCTATGATGTAAAACTTCGCATGAGCAAATCTGCAGTCGTAAGGCGCATCTACGATGAACGAAAACTTGCTTATGTAAATTCTTTGTCGTCGTTACCGTCGCCGTTTTCGTTCTCTTAAGCTCCCTTATGATGTTAGTTTCCTTGTCTAGTTTAATTTCAACAACCTAAAAATCTCTATGGCTTAAAACGAATTTGTTCTCAGGAAGCATAAAACAAAAGTTAGCCGGCTAAAGAAACTTTTCAAGACAAGAGTTATTTGTTGGTCAGCTCTTCAAAAAAGGTACAGAGACTTCCCCATTCTCCTTGTACAATTTATTTGATCAAAGCGGGATAGCAAGAATATTTCCCAACCCAGACTGGGGAAACAAGCACCTCCTTTGATAATTTCTCGTACAAGTGATTAAATGGCTTCTTACTAATCACTCCACGTGACAGATGGGCTGAATCATGCTGCTTAGAAACAACTATTGGTTAGCAACCTCGGTCAGAAGTCTCATATCTACAGTTTATTTTTCCCGATGAGCTCGAGAACTAAGCAGATTCAGCCTTCTGTAGAAGACTCGATAACATCTTTCCTCCATATTTAATAGAAAAGTTCACGTCGGGGACAGTTGCGGTAGATCACTTGTTAAAAGCATGTACCAACGCAACCGCAGGTAAACACAAAACAGCGTCCGAATAAACAGGCTCAACTTCACATCACTGCCACACCTAGAAAACAAATGAACAGTTAACAGAAATTTGCTTTGAAGGGATCAGGTCACGTGTCACACAGTCCTCTGCAAGTTTGGCACACTCGTTCCCAGTCTCAAACAGGGATCTCACTTACAACTCTACTAGTTACATGAATTAAAAAGTATGTAGAAACAATTCCATAAATGCTCATTCTTCAGCTTGGAAATGAAAATTGAATAAATAAATTCTAGTCTCAATAGGTTTTAGTTTTGCGTTTTACTCATGTGTACTCCCCCAAATGGAGAGTTTGCTCGCAGGCTATCTGTTGCACGAAAAACTCTTCTCACCTTAACTGTGCTATCCACCGCTCCAGAGAATATCCTGCCCTTATTGAATGCCAAAGCAGCCACGCTCCCTTGGTGACGTAAAAGGGTCTGGACGCAAGTGAAACTTTCTAGATTCCACACCTATCATAGAATGGAAGTTCAAAAGTCTCAGATTAATTTGTGACTCTGCTTCCATGCACTCGTTTCAGTTATCTAGTTAGAGGGGGGTCGATCTGGAGACCGTTCGAGATACTATCCATTCACGTGTAGAGACAGCCCAGTCCTAAGGCGTGCTCTATTACCCTGAAGTCTGGGAAAGGGTGGGCCAGTCTCTCTCGGTAACGTCACAGCCCACGGTAGAGTCCAGGATTGACCAAGCCCAGAACACCTAGGGACTAAGCTGGAGTCGACGGAAACTGCAAACAGACGCGTCTCTAGGATTTCACAAACTTAACAAATCCTTCAGAGATAGAGTGAACTTATCTGATCAAATTACCCTGAGTGATCTGTCATATGAAGCACTGAACAAACGCGTCTGCCCAGGGGCACTTAACACAGCAAGACCATACACTATACCAACGTGACCTGGTAAGAGGGAAAAAAGAAAATTATTCAAGACTATACCATACTTTTCAAAAGGGACATATACGGCTCAAGCAGAAAAACTGGGGGCAGGGGCGATTCCAAAGTGGTTTCTATCATTTTAGGGCAATCAGACACCAATTTATATAGTAAGACGCTGATCACACGGGTCCGGACAAATTTTAGAACGAAACGAATTTTTTACCTGTGCAACTTTACACGAAACTGTGCAAAACGCGTTACAGATTGCAGTAATATTTGCCATTCAAAAACCTGCACGGTTCCGCGGGTCCCGTGTAAACGAAAGGCGCATCCGTGCAAGTGTTTGTCCGTTCAAAAATTTGTCCAGACCCGTGTAAATGGGGTCTGAGTTTGTTTAAAAAAACATGGGTAAATAAATTTTCAATTGAAACTGGCCATTATCCCAGCCGGGTAGTCCGAAAAACACAGGAAAAGGGAAAAACACGCATTTTTTTCGGTAAGTCACCCAAATGGGTGTAGACTAGGTGGTATGCACCCCACGACCACGGTGTATTATACTGACACTTTCGCAAGGTATCGGTCTTTCTCCCTAATAATCGTCATTTTTCAACGCAAGTTAAATATGAATATTGGGCACAGTCATTAATTTTAGGTAACGAAAGGGTATGCATTAAGAAAATTAGTGCTTTCGGATTATGAAATTCATTTCTGTGGCTCGATGTGTGTTCAAATTCCTCTGCTTATAAATTGTGCATGACACGCGTGTCCGAAGCGCCCTGAAGGTCTCTTGCCTCTCGGATATTTTCTGGGAATTATACGAGTTTCAGTTCCCTAAAATTTATACAATATTTCTTGTTTTTTAAGATTATATCAGACGCACCCCAAGGCACCCCTTTATTTTAAGTCGAAAACCTGGGCTGGGTGTAGACAAAACACGAATGGTTTTGACTACATTTCGATTGGCCGAGAAACGACGCATGATCTTTTCTCAGCCAATCAAAAGCGACTATATACGAAAAAAATGTTTGTTCTTGTATTTAGGAGGAGAGTGTATTGAAAACACGTTTACTACGATGACTCTGACTGATTTCAAAAGCAGGCATTTATTTACAAATCTAACAAGAGTGAAAATGAGTCGCTGATTAAGCAAAACGAGTCTCGCTGTGTGGATCGAGTTGTTGTTGTTTTCCTTCAACTCGACTGTTTTGGACGCTAATTGCATTAAAAATTACCGATACTAACTAATTAACTATAAAATACTTTGTTTTGAAAAACACACGCCAGATTTTTGCATATAAATTTAATTTAGTTTCTTTCAAATTTTAGTTTAAGACTTCCTCAACATCAATTGCGCTTCGCTCAGATTTTTCTTGCTCATCATGAAACAAAACGTTCAGATTTTTTGTGCTCCTCCTTGTTTTCGTGCGCAGCTCGACTTATACAAGGAAGGTAAAAAACAACGACGTCGGCAGCCCGCATACCACGTGATCCTCAAAAGGATTAAAAGAAGAAGATTTTAAATCCTCCTTCAAAAATACTGGCAAACAACCAAAAGACAAGATCTAAAAATCGAAGACTAGGCAAAGAGAGTGAACCGTGATCGAGAGCAAAACGGACAGACTGGAGGCAATCCAAGCGGAAACAAATGACCCTTTACAAGTTCCCTTAGATCCTAAGCCACGAGCTAACTCAGACTGTATGGCAAAACCACCACGAGGCACTGAAAAACAGCCGCAGTTGGGTATGCCACTCGACAAGCCGTCCAGCGAACCCGCCATACCATCGTCGAGGACACAGTACGGCCACGACGACAGCGCCCCGAAGAAAAGGAATAGAAGCGGATCTGAACCGGTGGCGTACGACAGATCAAAAGCTTATTTTTTCCACCGCAGCGACTCACTCACAGAACAAGCAAAACATCTGTCCGAAGAAGAAATACAGGCCCTAGAGATCGACATATTCAAACCCCTGGATTTCTACGAAATCTTGTTTGAGAGAATCAAGGCTAACGACAGTGGCATGGTGATTACGTCTCTGAGTGAACTAGACAATTTGTGCACGTAGCATATTTCGTGCGAACTAAGCGAGTCTAAAATCAAGCTTTATTAACGCTAAGTAGAATGTAACACGACAAATAAGATATACTTTTTGACTTCCATCGTAAGAAGAAGAAGTTGGAGCAATAACAATGGTAAAAATAACAGCAAAAATTTTAAAGGAATAGACAATGAGTACTTCAATGAATTGTAGCAAAAAAGGGCGTGATTAAAACGGAAAAATTTTCCGTGCATTTGATTTACTTTTGACTGAGAGGTCTTTACGAATTAGTTTATACTTCGCTAGTGAACACCAACGCTTATATACCAGCTGATCAAATTGTAAATATACATTAAAAAGTTAAATAAATATGTAGATATTAAATTGATTGTCCTTCTTAAGTTTTTTTCAAAAAGCTTAACCCACAAATTGGCAGTCAACAAAGAGAGTTTGAGATTTCTTTGTGCCGGCAACTCGTCCAAATAAGTCGAATTAATAAAATAAATCAAATTGGACGTTAAGGTCCAATCCGAAGACTACTCTTTCAAAATTAAGGGAATCTCTCCTCAAAGTTCAAAAGCTGTGCGAGATCTGTCAAGTTACGCAAATTCAAACATAGCAAATTAAAGGTTTACCGAACACCGAGTAGTACCTGCGCGAGATCTGTATGTTTAAAGGCGAAACGCGAAACAACAGCCCATATCTACTAACTATATGGACAGCCCGAAATACCGTTAGTGTTTTCAGATTAAGAGTTGAGTCCCTTAACTGTGTTTTTCTGTTTTCTGGAAAGATCAAACTTAGTATTGGCAATTTTGGAAAGCTTGTTTGTTGATTATGAGCCCCAAAATCGGTGTCATAGCGACACTCAAGTGAAAAAACAGCCAAATACACAAACTACTGTTGACGAGAAAGAGGATAAGGCATAACATCTCAACAAATGGTGTAAATAGGGTCAGTAAAACACAATCAAAACTTGAAAACTTTGCAAATGTATTAAACATTTTTTATCACACTGTTTTGTACTTTTCTTTGCACGACTTCAACTTCAAGAGAGTTTGACTACATTTGACAAAGTAGGCGAGTTGGACTAATCGCGAAAAAAGATCGAAAGAACGCGAATTCACTTTTTAAGCGACGCCTTCACTGTCGTTGCCGTCGCTACCTACTTGAGGCAACCATGTTCTTTACGCTTTTACGAACATTTCAGTAATTTTCATAGAATTTTCATTCTTAAGAACAGAACTAATAGTATAGAAGTCACCGTCCTTGGATGTCCTAAATTTTCTCTACAGAAATTCGACAACTTGTACATTACATCCGAAATTCAGAAAAAAAAAAGTCAGCTAAACTACCGGACTGATCAGCTCACGATTTATTTAGTCTAGAACTCCTCTTCCCACTTTTTTTAAATTCAACAAATTAGCACACTAACCAAAAAAGAATTGGAGAAAAAACTGGCACATGAGCAGGACAAAAGCTTTTCCGCACTCGCGGCAACGCACCGACTCAAAAAACAGGCGGTGAACCACAGGTAACCCAGGCTCTGTGATAGTACCACAGTACGGTTCCAGTAAAATTACAGTGTTTGTATGGGGTAAAAATATCATCCTAAAATTTCTAGGAAATACTAAATAAAGATCAATAAAACTTACTCTGCAGTTAATTGTTGTTGTCCTTATTGCTCCAACGAAGTTTCGTGATAATTTGCAGTAATTTGTTTAAATTCACTCTATCTACAATAATAATATACAAGGTAGGAAACACGAGGTGCCATTTTCGCCGACATGCTCTCATTCAACACAACTTTTTCCACGAAATTCGAACTCCAACGGAAAATAAACATGCCAGGATCGTAGAAATAGGATAGCAGCAGATATAGAATCCAATGAAGCTTTCCCAGACAGAGAAACGAATCCCACAGACTTTGACAAACTCGAAGGATATAATCCAAACAGACCGAGAATATGCTCGCCGAAGCAGCCGGGCCAGACCAACACGCGGCCAAGAAAATGAGGCCTGGGCACTCTACAAAAAAATTCCATCCCGGGGGTCCTGGGGTGACCTTTCTAGGGACCGATACATCATTTGTCCAAAGCCACCCTCCCCTGCTGGAAAACTACTTGATAGAAGGCAATTGTTCTTCCTAGCCAATCACTATTTGCCAGAGCAAACCCCGCACACGCGCCTAAATTTAAATAGCTAAAAAAAAGTAATATAATCAGGAGAGTCTGAGGAGTTACAAAGCGCTCCATTTCTTTTAATAAGGAATGCAAAAAACAGTAATGAAACTAATGAAATAACAACGCGAAATACTTGAAAAGGCGGGCTAAAAACAAGGTTGAACAAAAGGTAGAGCGAAACTATCGTAAATAAACGGTGAAGCTTTCAAACTAATGTCAAAAATTATACAGAAAATTGCGACAGAATATGAATTGCGATAACTGAGACGAATGTGAAAGGCACGTGCACCAGTAAACAAAGAACTAGCGCGATTAACATATTTAGCGATTAATGCGGCAGTAACACGCCGACTTCTTGTCAATACAAGTGAACGCTCTATCGGTTAAATATGTGAATCATCGTGATACACCTCTCTTTGAATTTGGTCCTGTTGTACAAATGCCTCGGTAAGAGCCAAAATTCACCTATATCTTTTGCTCGTTTTAAGTCTTGTAAATCCTCCTTCGTTGTTCTTTCCTTTGCCCTTATAACCTTGCCCTATTGATGTTTGATAAACTTTCTGAGGACCAGCGCCAGGCGCTGAATATAGTTCGAGAGGGACATAATCTCTTTAAAACAGGCCAGGGTGGTACGGCTAGGAAGAACAATTGCCTTCTATTAAGTATTTTTTCTGCAGGGTAGGGTGGCTTTGGGCAAATGATGTATCGGTGCCCAGAAAGGTCACCTCAGGACTCCCGGGATGATTTTTTTTTGTACAGTGCCCAGGCCTCATTTTCTTGGCCGCGCGTTGATCTGGCCCGGCTGCTTCGGCGAGCATATTCTCGGTCTGTTTGGATTATATCCTTCGAGTTTGTCAAAGTCTGTGGGATTCGTTTCTCTATCTGGGAAAGCTTCATTGGTTTCTATATCTGCTGCTATCCTATTTCTACGATCCTGGCATGTTCATTTTCCGTTGGAGTACGAATTTCGTGGAAAAAGTTGTGTTGAATGAGAGCATGTCGGCGAAAATGGCACCTCGTGTTTCCTACCTTGTATATTATTATTGTAGATAGAGTGAATTTAAACAAATTACTGCAAATTATCACGAAACTTCGTTGGAGCAATAAGGACAACAACAATTAACTGCAGAGTAAGTTTTATTGATCTTTATTTAGTATTTCCTAGAAATTTTAGGATGATATTTTTACCCCATACAAACACTGTAATTTTACTGGAACCGTACTGTGGTACTATTACAGAGCCTGGGTACCTGTGGGTGAACGAGCTTAATTACCAAAGGGCGTAACGGACTCGTTCAAAACAAACAACAAAAAGAGATTTAATGGCAATAATTCCTGTAATAATAAGTAACTTCAACGAACTGTAAAACAAAACGTAAATAACAATGAGCTAATGTGCAGGTGTGTGCTACCACTTCAATCATTTCTTTCCTCATAAGTATTCTCGCGAAGCGAGTTTATGATTTTGTCGCGCTCGCAAGCGGAGTGCGATTTCGCGTTGGTCATAAATCGTTTTTTCTATCGGTTGCCCAGCAACAAGCCCATAAACAAATCCTGAGGACGCCATTCAGCATGACTTCATCGTGCATCTTGGGTTTCCAGGCAACACAGCCACCTTCTAGGGCTCATTTTATTCATCCTTTGTTTACTACACGTTGGCGAATCGCCTCGCGAATCTCAAAGCATTTCTGAGGCAAAAGAACAGCGGGCTGCAAACACAACAGTGCCCTATCGTGTTTAAATAAAGGATACGTATGTATGTATGTATGTATATGGGCCGCTCGATGAAACACTGGTTTTTAATAAAGAACAGCGCCTCTATGGCTGATAGAGTTTTTACGAACATGCGAGTTCAAACACCGGACGATTACGTTATTACTCCTTCTGAAGTTGTACGCAGTGCAAAAAGTTTATAATAGACGATTAAAGTATTCCAGTTGAAGTATAGGTATGGTTCCTTAGTAGGGCATATCGCGGGGCAAGTTGTATACATGTATTATTATGGTTGCCCTACGGTGAATTACTTACAGCGACTGTAAAAGGTCTGCATTAGGGCAGCCGCCCCAAATGGCCAGTCCATATAGAACTGATAGTAATATTATCTTGAAGTACAAGTCCAATAGGGCGTTTCTGCTCAAGAAAGAACTCCTTGTCAGGAGGTTCAGTTTGTTTACAACATTCTTTTTTCAAATCTGTAAGGTGATGTGAACAGGAAAGCCTGTCATCTATGGTAACGCCCAAAAGACGAGTGTGTTTCACCCACTCGATCCGTTCCTCTCCAATACAACTGTAGTCACATAATTTAGCGGCCCGCTGTGCGGTTTTCTCATCAACAGTATACCTTCAATAGCATATCAGGCCCGAGAGTGAATAAACACAGAAATAATGCGAAATGGTTTTGAAATACTCGTTTAAGCTATTTTTCCTCAAATGTATCTTTGAATTCATTATAAATACAGCTCCAGGAGGTTCAAACACTGTGAATGGCAGAGGAAAATACTTCAACACTAATAATTTTAAGAATTGCACAGCGTTCGAATGGCCGAGTGGTATGTGGCCTCACTTTTTGCATTGGAGGAGGTAAGGGTGCAAGGTTCAAATCCCCGCGGGGCTACTTCCATTTTTTTTTTTTTTTTTTCGTTTGTTTTTCTTTTTTTACGCTTTTACGAACATTTCAGTAATTTTCATAGAATTTTCATTCTTAAGAACAGAACTAATAGTATAGAAGTCACCGTCCTTGGATGTCCTAAATTTTCTCTACAGAAATTCGACAACTTGTACATTATATCCGAAATTCAGAAAAAAAAAGTCAGCTAAACTACCGGACTGATCAGCTCACGATTTATTTAGTCTAGAACTCCTCTTCCCACTTTTTTTAATTCAACAAATTAGCACACTAACCAAAAAAGAATTGGAGAAAAAACTGGCACACGAGCAGGACCAAAGTTTTTCCGCACTCGCGGCAACGCACCGACTCAAAAGACAGGCGGTGAACGAGCTTAATTACCAAAGGGCGTAACCGACTCGTTCGAAACGAACAACAAAAAGAGATTTAATGGCAATAATTCCTGTAATAATAAGTAACTTCAACGAACTGTAAAACAAAACGTAAATAACAATGAGGTAATGTGCAGATGTGTACTACCACTTCAATCATTTATTTCCTGATAATTATTCTCGCGAAGCAAGTTTATAATTTTGTCGCGCGCTGCGCGCGCGGATCACGCGAGTATCGCAAGCGAAGTGCGATTTCGCTTTGGTCATAAATCTTTTTTTTCTACCGGTTGCCTAGCAACAAACCATAAACAAATCCTAAGGACGCCATTCAGCATGACATCATCGTGCATTTTGGGTTTCCAGGCAACCCGACCACCGACTAGAGCTCATTTTATTCATCCTCTGTTTTCAGCACGTTGGTGAATCGCCTGGCGAATCTCAAAGCATTTCTGAGGCAAAAGAACAGCGGGCTGCAAACACAACAGTGCCCGATTGGACAAGTGGCTGGAAAACCTTGCCGCTTTGAGCTTTAAATCCTAACGTGTTTAAATAAAGGATATGTATGTATGTATATAGGCCGCTCGATGAAACACTGGTTTTAAAGAATAGCGCCGCTATGGCTGATAGAGTTAAAACATTAGAACATGCGAGTTAAAACGCAGGACGATTACGTTATTACTCCTTCTGAAGTTGTACGCAGTGCAAAAAATTTATAATAGAAGATTAAAGTATTCCAGTTGGAGTATCGGTATACTTCCTCAGTAGGCATATCGCGGGGCAAGCTGTATATTATTATAATGGTTACCCTACGGTGAATTACTTCCAGCGAATGTTAAAGGTCTGCATTAGGGCAGACGCCCCAAATGGCCAGTCCATATAGAACTGCTTGTAATATTATCTTGAAGTACAAGTCCAATAGGGCGTTTCTGCTCAAGAAAGAACTCATTTTCAGGAGGTTCAGTTTGTTTGATGTAAACAGGAAAGCCTGTCATCGATAGTAACGCCTAAAAGACGAGTGTGTTTCACCCACTCGATTCTCTCCAATACAGCTGTAGTCACATAATTTAGCGGCCCGCTGTGCGGTTTTCTCATCAATAGCATAGCTTCAATAAATATCAGGCCCGAGAGTGAATAAACCAGGAAATAATGCAAAATGGTTTTGAAATACTCGTTTAAGCTATTTTTCCTCAAATGTATCTTTGAATTCATAATAAATACAGCTCCAGAAGGTTCAAGGTAACACTATTAGTAACACTAGCCCTCAACACTATTAATTTTAAGAATTGTACAGCGTTCGAATGGCCCAGTGGTATGTGACCTCACTTTTTGCGCTGGAGGAAGTTAGGGTGCAGCTTCAAATCCCGGCGGGGCTACTTAAAGTTTTTTTTTTTTTTCCGTTTTTTTTCTTTCATCGTATTTTTACCCTTTGGCTTGTTTCCGTTTATTCTCACTGCTGACCCTTTTTAGCTTCGCGAGATTTTTGAGATAACGTATTTCAAGTTTGTTTCTTACGAAAGTGCAAAGACGGCTGATATTAAGGACATAATACGTTAACACACTGACTCTGAAAAAGCAGGCCGAGATCAGAGTAATGAAGCGGTAAACCGGTTATACGGTTTAATTAGCGATCAACGTAACAAGCCTCGTTCAAGACAACAACAAAAAGAAAATAAATGGCATTATAATTACTGAAATAATAAGTAACTTGTGCGCAAGTTTCAACGCAGCGAAAAATAGAACGTAAACAACAACAAGCCAGTCTGTATATGTGTTACCACTTCAATCATTTATTTAGTCTAGAACTTATAGTCCTATGATGATATCCGTAATTTCCCACAACTCACTTTTTAAAAAGACGAATTTTATTACCAGATTATAGGTCCTTGCATAATTAGACGACACCCTCCTGAATATTTATAAGTTTTTGAATAACAAGACGACACGAGACCGGACACGAGACTAGCCTTTCACGCCACGCAGACAACCTTTTGCTCGCCTGCGTTGGAGGCTACCACGAGACCTGTTTCACTAAAGAAATTTTCCCTAAAGAAATTCCTTCCACTGACTTTTTTAGTTACACGAAATTTTACCAGATTGTAGGTCCTTGCACGTGACTCAATTGAACAATACTGCCTACTGAATACTGATAAGTTGTTAAGAAGGCACGAGACCGGACACGCGGCCTGTTTGAAAGATAAGGTAAATCGCACAAATAAACAGTCAGTTACACGTATCTACACGGTGAATACAGCAGCTCGACTACCTGTACATTATGGCCGAATTTCAGAAAAAAGTCAGCCAATCGACTGGGCTGATCTACCGCGAGAAAATAAGTGACGAGAATCACCTGCCCAAAATCCATAAAAGAACAATTTCAGAATCAGCAGCAGACAAAAGAAGACTTCACAAACAGAATCAGAAACAGAAATTATACCGCCAAGTCTCGTGGAACGACTGCAACACTCGCAACCGAGTAATTTTTGCTGAAGGATGGGAAAAGCTGACGGACGAGGAAAGAGCCAAACTGGAGATCGACATCTTCAAACCTCTGGATTTCTACGAAATCTTGTTCAACAGAATAAAGGCCAACAATAGTGGCAAGGTTATTACTTCTCTTAATGAACTGGACCTTATGTAATATTTGTAGCAGCAACCTATGTTTAACAAACGGGTCGCTCCCGCCTTGTTTTTTCTGCTTATACTATTGTCATGTTCCTTTTGGCTGTTCCATTATTATAATAAAAATAATTGTAGTAAGATAATTTTTTGAGAAGGCAATCCCTTTTTTTCCTACGAAAATACAATGCAAAACATTCAGAGTCGTCTTTTTACTTTTTTTTAAAACAAGCAGACAAGAGAAAAATTTGGCACTCGGGTAGCACAGAAGTTTTTCTGCAAGCGTCAACGCACCGAGTTTACTTAGCCATCGACGTAGCAAGACTCGTTTGAAACAAACAACGATGGGATTAATTGATCGCCTTAATTACTGTAATTACGGTACTCTCGGTAAGTGTTATCAGCCTCCGCCTTCGGCTCGGTTGATAACATTTTCCTCAACATTGATTATTCCAGAAATTACAAAACCTCATCCAATAATTGTTTATTTCCGTTAAAACAAGAACTCTCGTAAAACGTGAAGTCGGGCTGGCTACAATTCAAGGGATTTGAAGTGGGCAAATTAAGGTCATGTTTAGGACTTAAGCCCTGTCCATACTAAAGGATCCGTTTTCGTTTTCATCGAAAGCGCATTGATCGATTCACGTGCACACTACCGTTTTGATGCGTTTTCGACTGTAAAACACTAAAAAGTTCGAAAACGATAGATTTGCACGTTGTTACGCAGGTTGAACACTATGTGCATGTTACAAACACACGGACCTGCGATATTTTACAACCCACGTGGTACATATGACGTCATCGTTTTTTCATTTTGATGCGTTTTCGACCGTCCGCACTGATACGATATGTATGCGTTTTCGTTTTGATCCAATTTCAAGAGTGTTTTCAAATCGATGCGTTTTCGCTGAAAACCCTCAGCGCATTTGAGTGTGGACGGAACGCCTGAACGCATCGAAATGTATGCGTTTTCAAACGAAAATGCATTGGTGTGGACGGGGACGCTCTGATTCCTACAATTCGCTTGTAATCAAGAAATCAAGTCAAGACAAGTGCATTGCTCACTGTCTCTTCTCAGGCTTTCGCGTCTCATCGCACCTTCCCCCACGGTGACCAGCAGTGCTTTTTTGTCGTTGGATAAATGAAAGGCATGGATATATAACAACACAAGAATCAGTGATAAAATATGGGATACCACCCAGGCAAGAAACCGCACCGGCTATCAATTCATGACCCACCGTTTGTAAAGGAAACATCTATAACACGATTTGAACTACCATAAGAGGTAAACAAACTCGTGAAAACAACAAAACGAGAATAAATGGCATTATAATTACTGTAATAATAAGTGACTTGTGCGCGACTTTCAGGGCAACGTCAAATAAAACGTAAATATTACAACAACGAGCCAGTCTGTACATGTGCCGACTTACCGATCATTTATTTAGTCTAAAACTCATGGTCCTATCAAGATATTAACTTGTTAGCTACCCTAAAATTCAGGTATATATGAAGTCTATGTTATGTTATGTTATGTTTATGATTTCCGTAATTTCCCTCCACTAACTTTTTTAGTTGGACGAATTTTACCAGGTTATAGGTCCTTGCACGTGATTCGATTAGACGATATGCCTACTGAATATTAATAAGTTTTGGAATAACAAGACGGCACGAGACCGGACACGAGACCAACCTTTAACGCCAGGCAACCACGAGACCTGTGTTATTGTCTTTTGATTTTGTAATTTTCTTTTTTCTTTTCCACATTACATGTTTTAAACTTTTATAAATAGCGTTCCCAAATCATATAATCAGGTTACCCCAAACTTCACTTTTAAAAGATATTAATCGTTAATATTAATAAGGTGGTATCAATTAATAAACGCTGAAAATTTGAGTTTTCACAGATCTTTGTTAAGTAAATAACAATTTGGACTAATTACAAATTAGCGTGACGAGACGTCATTTCGTTGTAATAGGATAATATGTCTTAAAATTAGCGCTATCAATTGGCATTGAGGGAACAATAAAATTTCGACAAATATTATTTCAATAAATAATCATAGTACTTAGGATAACCGGCTGAATTAGTCCTTAGATCATTCGACTAATTGAAAATCAACGTGAACAGAAGACACGTCGCTGTTATAAAAAAAGATGTTTACAAATTAGCGCTATCAATTTGCAGGAAACAATACAATTTCAAGAGATATTATTAAATCGAATGACCATAGTACGTAGGATAACTGGTTAACATATCCCTTTAATTATTTTACTAATTACAAATGAACGCGATGAGACCCTCAAGACCCATTTAAAAAAATTTACTTGGCACAGATAAGCAGTCAGTCACTCGCATCCAAGAAGAATACAACGACTCGAGCAAAATTTGACAGCTAGTACGCTATGGCGGAACCACAGAACAAAGGTAGCCAGTCGCCTGAACTGCTCGTCGTTTCTTGCGACCGCAGAGGCAAGTGCAGCTCCGAGACGACAAGTCCTATAGATTTCCCACCCAAACTCTGTCAAAGGCCAGTTTTAGATTCAGCAGCAGAAGGAAAAGCAGGTCAGAAACAGAAACAGAATCAGAAACAGGAAATCCACCGCCAAATCTCGTGGAACGACTGCAACACTCGCAACCACGTAATTTTGGCTGAAGGATGGGAAAAGCTGACGGACGAGGAGAAAGCTAAACTGGAGATCGACATCTTCAAACCTCTGGATTTCTACGAAATCTTGTTCAACAGAATGAAGGCTAATAATAGTGGCAAGATTATTACTTCTCTTAATGAACTGGACATCTAATGTGTGTTGCATCAGTGGATTATCACGTTCACGCATGATATTTTGTCGAGTAGCTCTTTCAGCCAAATTGTAATGGGTTAAGTAGTTGGCTTAAATAATTATCTGAAATAAAATTGTTTTTTGCACTTTTTAACGATACGTAGTCGTTCATATTAATGTGTTTTCCTCGCCTTCTCTTTCCAGCTCCATTTTTATAACCAAAGTTATTGAAACAACGACATTTTTGGTATGGAGAAAACTCATTTGTTTCCGGCCGCACTGAATAATCTTTTTGCATGCGTTAATATCGAACGCATCAACAACTCGGGATTCCATGAACTACCAATCAAAACTGAAAATGTCATGGAGGAGAAGCAGCGAAACAAGAAACGTCGCTGCTTTCGTGACGAAAAAGAGGATATGAGCCCGCGTGAAATTCAGCCTTTCACGTGTCTCCCTCGCTTTCGAGTGTTATCGAAGTAGCGCCTAAAGCCACAAGAGGCGATTAAAAGTGACTACAAGTGACTCACCGTTCAGCGTTTCCAAGTGTTTGTGTGTGCTTATATCATACACCTTAAGACAAAAGGGACGGTTATTGGTATCATCATCAGTCATTGATTGTATTTACTCTATGAGCTCCACAGCCATTTAGTAAGCTACAACTCAGAGAAAAAGAAAGAACTCAGTTCTGTTACCTGTATTTGATTCTCATACGTTCCACATACTATATAGTCCTTGGTGACTGCCAAAGAGTACACGCTGCCCCCTGAAGTCTGAAGGACTCGAACACACTCTAATGTATCTAGATCCCATAACTGCAAAATAACATTTTAAGTTTTAAGTGAGCTGAAACCAATATTCCACGTTCTATGTACAGCATAATAAACAGTACTACAATGAAGTACTGCTCAGTAGCTGTTATTTCAATGGCAACACTCTAGGTCCTCATCCCACGAACTCAAATCACCTGGTAAGCAGGCTCAGAAACACCTAACTGGCAAAAAACAATACATATACCAATAAGATGAACTTGTATTTTCGCGTTTATATGGCCTTTAATAGCAACACCTGGAAAATAACTTTAAATCCGAATAATCAAACTTGGGAAGTTTGTTAGCCAGCTCTGAAGTATGTGTCGTCTTATCAGTTACATCGAGGAAAAAAAAGGTTAACAGAAAGCACCAAAACTGTAATCACGGTGAGGACATAAAGAATTAAGTACCTTAATGGTTTGGTAGGAGCCACTGAAGAGGTGCCTTTCTGATGCCACCAACGCACGCACCCAGTGATTAAGGCCTGTTAGTTCTTGGATAAGCTCCATGGTTTTTAGATTCCAAACCTGGAAAATCAACGAGAGAAATAGAACTCACAAGACGAGTTAGAAGGAACTGTAGGTTGCGTGAAACGTCCTCCTAAGGGCCTGGATATCCCAGTTCCCAGTCGTTTGTGTGAAAAAGCCCAGTAAGTATTTGTAGCGTCAAGTCCAGGTGGTTTGCTGTAAACGCGGCAAAGGCACTTCAATAGTTTTGACAGCGAGGAAGGTTTCATTTTTCGTTTCTTTTCGGACGATAATGTAAAGTTTCACGACAACATGGTGCCGTGTCTTTCACGTATTTTCCAAATTGAAAAATAAGAATATTTTTGCGTTGTTTTCCACACATGTCAAGTTGTGATCTTCATCAAATGTTATCGACCTAAACCAGTACTTTCTCCTTCTTCGGCAAGCGGAAGAAGCCTGGCTTGCGACAAAAATCAGTTTTGCGGCCCCAAGTAAGTAAGCTAGTAGTTTTTCTCGCTAAGTCTTTAAGAACAAATAAGAAGATTTCATTCAGCCTACCTTGATTTTCTTGAGCGATCCACTAAACAGCATGTTCCGTTTAGTAACCAGTGTGCAGACAGGGTTCTCGTGACCGCGAATAGAGTCGAGCAGTTCAAGTTCCTCTAAACACCAAACCTAGTGCACACACAAAAAAATAGCAATTATTGTACAAGTCTGTTTCACCTAGTTTCATCAAATTATCTTTAACAAAAATACTTCAACTTTTAGTCAAAATTAAGGCCTTGACATGAACGCTTCTCAAGAAGCTTGAAAAATCCCTATAATGTGTTTACCAAAAGTAAGAAAATATTATCAACGTTTTCTCCATGTGAAAGTCATTGACCGACAATGCTACATACATTTATTGTGCAGTCTGCGGAACCACTGTAGAGCTTTTTGCTGTAAGACAAAACAAAAAGGCGAAATGTGTGACATACTGAGTTTCTGGCTTAATAAAAACTTATAAGGAAAAACAACAGTACAAACAGTAAATAAAACAACAAGTCTTGGTTCTACATAGTCAAAGAAAGGGACAAATCGACGATGCCTGCTAGCGCCCGCATAAAAAAAATGGCGCGAAAAGAGGAGCACGCGCGTATCTTTCCTCTCTCTCTCTGTTATCTAGCACAGAAATTTCTATGCAACCGCAGCGCAGGCTAGCTAGCTAGGCTAAAATAAAGCTAACCTGCGTAGCAAGCGTTTCTGTGCGGTTTAAGAGCAAAGAACGGCGCGAAAAATGGCTCTCGTTTCATTTGTCGCGCGGTCAAAACCGAAAATCCCGTTCTCTGGTTTTGTCTGCTCCGAAACTAAACGGAAACGCTTGCTACGCAGGCTAAAATAAAGCAGGGAGAGGTCATGAAAGGAGCGAGAAAAACTATTGGATACGGATGCATTCAGAGTGTGGGAATAGATTTCAATCGCGTGAAAAAATTACTGCGGCGCGCGGGAGACCTTGTAACAAGTAACCGCGGCTGAACGCGGGAAAACATGGGACCGTTAACAGTGCTAAGCACTGTGGCAGACAACTCAGGGTGTAGCAGCAAAATTAGGGGAGATACAGAAGTGATCGTGATTGAATAGTTTACGTAAATGGTTAACATACTCGTGAGTGCACAAAGCCAATACAATGCCACTATGTCCTTCCATTGTCTTTATACATTTGTACGTCGTCAGTGTATCCCATACCTTGAACGAATGTAAATCATCATAAATTAACAAGGTTGCATAGTAAACTAACTTCTGAAAAGAGTGTTTCCACTCCCGCCAAAATGACGCTAGTTCACGCGCGCGCAATACTTAGTATTACGAAAATCTCGTTCCCTTAGTCGTCCTCGTCTTAGAATAAATAAGGTCTCCATTAACAAGATCCTAGAATATCTGTCCAGACGACAAGATTGAACAAACCTTCTAACCATAGACAAGCAGAACCAAAAATGTTGCTCTTAGGTTACGGTACTTGTAGAGACGACGAAAGATTGCCCACGTCTAATGGGAAGTCCAGGTTCTCATAATGGGTTCTTCAACTATATGTGTGGCTACGAAGCTATACGATAAAAACCCAACACTTATGCCAGGACTGTATCAGTATAAAGGAACGATTCCTGTATGAGATCGTTTCGGTCGAAAAGGAAAGTTCTGTTTTGTCTGTAGTACAAGAAGATCGCAATAAGTGGGTAAAATTAGAAAACTTCCCGATTTTTCTGCAGTAAACGAGAACACTGTTGTTATGAACAAGTAAGCGGGTCTCCATGTTGTCACACATACCTTGATTGTCTTGTCAGATGAACCGCTAAATAGCCAGTCTCCATGGGTACACAAAGTCCATACGGGACCCTAGAGGCAAATCAAAGGAATATTTTTCAGTGGTATGCTGAGTATTAAATTTAAGGTCTACTACAGCTACGGCCTTGCGCGCCGAGAGTCATGTTCAAGTATTCACTGGTTGGAAAGATTCTAGAACAACAGAGCATACCTGGTGACCGACAAAAGTTCCCTTGCACTTAAACAATGGCTGGATGTCAAACGCTGCAAACAAAAAAGAGTAGCAGACTGCTATTAGCATTTCTATTCTTTTTCATACAGCGAACGTCGCATTTGCAAAAGCTACTACCAGTGAGCGACATCAATAAAGATATTGGCATTATATTGTAGCTACTCTTAAATTCTGCGAGGTGAAATTAAGGTTAAGTACAGTACGTATGTATGTAATCGTTCTAGGTAACACATAGGCATCACTGGGTATCAGATTCGGCGCATGTGGGGTTCGGAGTCACAGAACGGGAATAAGACTCGTCAAACGTTAGCATCAATCCTATTCACTTTCAGGAGGGCTAGAAAAGAATGTGTGATGCAAAACCCAAGAAAACAACAACAACAACAAAACTTTAAGAAAGGTTATAGGCAAGCTGTTCAAACTTCATGAGGGAAATCAACAGATCTTTGATGACCCGTTTCATGTTTTAGCTGATATTTATGAAAAAGGGTCATGAAGTAGAACTTACTTCCAACGCCCCACAGTCGAGCTTCAACATTAGACAAGTCAGTCTGTAAATAAAACCAAAATTTACTGAAAAAAAGATAGACTTTGAACGGTCATGCAAGACAAGACAATCCATATACACAACTGGCATTGGCATGGTGGAACAAGTTTGTAAAGTATCATAACCAGAAGCCTGTTAGCAAGCTCTCCGAGACGCTCCGGCAAACATAATGCTGAGTTATAATAGAGAGGTTAAGCATCACGTTTACGTCAAACGGCGAACGCGAATTTGTTCCATGTGACCAAGCTTCCTCTTTAAATGTCGTTTACTGTTCATTATTTCTACACCTAAAGTATTAGTTTCATGCATTTTTCTAACCATAAGAATTGTTTTGAGCTGTTTTTAGCTGCTCATTTTCTACTTTGAGAAATTCTCAACTTGAATCTGCCGTTTGCCGTATAAGTAAAGATTGAACTCTCTATTTACTCGAAACAAAAGTAAAAAATTTGTCTGGCAAACGCGCAACAAAATTGGGAGAGAAGCAGCGTAAAAAATTGCGTAAAGTAATAGGGCCTTAAGAGCCACATCACAAACACACTTTTGACTTTCCTAAAAAGGGAAGGAAAAAGAGCCTAACAAAGATGGCCATCAAAAAAAATATTCAAAATGAAGAAAGATTATACATAGTAAGAATACTTGCAAAATTTTCTTGAGTTCACTTCTGGTCTTCTTTACTGATAATGATGTAAATTACCTGGATTTGCGAAATGCTTTGTCTTGAATCCAGCAAATCTGAGGACAGTTTTGTTTGGCTTTCATCGAGAAGGTCTATGTAAGCAAAAAATACATGAAAAAAAAAATACACTTACAAGGCCTTGATAAACTAACCAGGTTCTCTTGCAAATCATCTCCGCCGCAAATTATAACGCTGTGCGTTGCGAGACAAATTGCGCAAGACGCCGCCTTCTGCAATTTTCATAGCAACCTTAAAAAAATCCTTACAGCGTTTATACCGACGTTGTTGCGAGAAGTAAAACTTGATTTCACTTCAAAGCAGCATTTGCTTAAACAAAAATGTTACAAGTAAAGTCCTGTACGACGTTCAATCAACACTAAGAATTTTCGCGCAACTTGTGGCTAAACAAAATTGTGAGAAAGATTGCAAGAAATTTCGTTAAAGAACAAGGCCCCCAACGTCTACAACAGTCATACCTTGCATCCAACAAAAATGACAAAAATCTCGACCATAAATCAGTGCTAAAAACAGCGCGTCTTTGTCAAAGATAAGTAGTAAACTGGGAAGACAACAGTGCAAAGTGAAACCAGTCGTTTCGATACAAGTCTTTTCGACACGAACTTAAGCAGTGAAAGTGCGCAACAAATATTACGATCAATTACGAAAAACCATATATTCCCTGTTCTTTAAGCCAACGACGCGAAATTATTTAACTTGAATCGAAACGACCCCATTTCGAAATGCATTGTATCAAAACGACCGGTAAACCCCACTCTTGTCCTAAATAGTTCAGAAAATTACAAAGTTTGCACTCTCACCTATTCTGATGTCCACAGTTTTTTCCATTCTGTCCACTCGCTCATTTAACTTTACTATCATCGCCTTGAGAAATACAATTTCCTAAAAGGAATCAGGTCACAAAATAGGATCAATAGGTGAGGGATGATGGATCCTACCCTGGTTCCAGAGGTTTTTCTTGAAAATTTTCCCTGCGTTCGAGAGAGCGAGCGAAGCGACACGTTTTCGCCTTTTCGTGGTTTGTTCTCTCTTTCTCTCTCTCATGCTAAGACAAATTTCAAGACAAATGTCTGGGACCAGGGAAACTCTTTCCTTAACAAAGGAAACAGAGCCGACTGTTATTTCAAGGCACACGAACAGGACTTATCTGGAGAAAATACCTGATCTTTATCTTTCAGCGCCATCTTTATCTCTTCCATTCGCTTGTCTGAGTGCTGCAGGAATTCCTGGTAAATAATAAAATGAAAAATTGATAAAACTGGTTTATTCATGGTTGAACAAATTACTTTTAAAAATCTGTATCAGATGGACAAGTTTCTCTTTATTGCGCGTTGAGCTTTGTTTGACCCCTAAAATACATCATTCTCAAATGGACAACGAAATAAGAATTATAGTGATTTCAATATTCCGATAAAAAAAAATCGTCATCAAAATAATGCTTTCTTTCTTTCTCTTATTTCTTCATGTGCAGCCAAAAGGGGATACCTGCATGAATAAGAATGTTAGAACTCCTATGAACAACCCAAGTCACACCAAAATATGCAATTCATACCGTTACTCGAGACGATGAACATCCCCCTCGCCCCGTTCACACGAAGTCCCCCTTCTCAGTTATTGGAGATCTTAGATGTGGTCAAAATTATACCGCTGTTTCGAAAAAGGTTGTCGGAAAAAGTGCACGCGACAATCCCGAAAGGTATTGTGGGTGGTTTTGTCTGCCCTGTTCTCCAAAGAAATTTTAAAGAATGGCACGAGAGCCCACGGACATATGTTCGCAAGTGCTAATGGAAATCAACAAAAGTAGGTTCGACTACTTTCGAGCTACAGTCGTTAGGAACTGTATTGATCAGATCCCATAATACCTTTCGGGGTTGTCGCATGCACATTTTTTTCCTACAACCATTCTCGAAATAGCTGTATACTGCTAAGGCGGTCTCATAAGCAATCAGGTAGTGTCACGTTGTGCCACTAATACTTTCTGAACTATAAATTGCACACTAATAAAGAATAAAGAGTTTGTACGGCCGGGTTCCACTGTATGTCAGTTTCAATATCTACCGAGAATTTCTTACAAAACGCCATATTAAATTACCTTAACAGCTTCAAACTTGCATGTCTCAAGATGGAGGCAAACTTCTTTATGGTTTCCCTCCATATGACATCTACAACAAAAACAGCAGAACGGTACATTATTTACACAACATTATTGACCATTATTTACCCTTGACATTCATAATAACACTGATACTAACTTATACTTTATAGTTATTGAAAAAATCATAATAATTAAAAATTATTATTATTATGAATGGTACATTACGACCAACTACTATTACCGTCTTAAATCTCGCTGAGATTTCATTCAACCCAAAAAGGGATCAGTTGGGTTGAGTATTGAGTAACAATATTAATGTTTTAGAATCATAGATAATTCTTACAATGATTTTTAAATTGAAGAGAAATGGAGGGGGATGTTAAATTTTATAGGAAAATGCAACATTTAAGATTTCATGGTGACTGAAAATTATAATTTCAAGTGAATAGTAAATAGATAAAGACCAGTCCACAGTTGTTCAAAAGGTGGATAGCGCTATCCACCAGATAAATCTCTACCAGTGGACAGTGCGATTATTGGTTTCCTTAATACTTATCACTGGATAGTGATTTATCCAAAAGATAGTACTATCCAGCATTTGAACATTCAACAACCAATACCAGATGGTCACCCAACACACTACAAGGTGCCTCATGGAGCCTCTTGGGGGACCAACTGGTTTACACATTTACCCTTGTCTACAATCTCTCATTCACTCTCAATTCACCCACCTTGATTGGTTGCCTCTTCACTTATAATTTTGGGTTATGCTTTAGTATTCTATCCTCAAAACTGATCGCCTCTACATCCTTTTCTTATTTTTCATATTCTTTACATTAAATGCTTTTCATATTTGTTATAAGTACATGTAAGCTTAACATACCCATATTTTTGATGAGGGCATCTCATGTGCTCACAAACTTGTAAATGATCATCAAGGTCCTGAAGTAAAAATACATTGTATAAATAGCATCTCAGTTGTCCAGTTGCTAAAGTTTCAAAACTTATTTTTTGGATGACAATACCACAAATAAAAGAAAACCACTACCTCACCCTGATGTGAATTACTTTAATTACTGCCTGCTGCCTACTCTTTGAGAAGGTTAATAAATCTTCCAATTAAACAAATTTACATATATATCTGCTCATAGAGTTACAATAACCTGTGGCCATCATTGACTGTGAGAAATTGCAACCACGCTTGCAAATCTCAATTTGCATGCATAAAACCTAGTCTAGGAAAAGTCTTTGAAAGATGGTGTCTTAGAGAAAAAACTTTCTTCACTCTACTAATACAACAACATATATGGTTAGAGTCCAGTGAAGTGACAGTATTATAACATATCAACAAAAAGTTGTCAAATGTGTTTCCAAGTAAAGAACACTTACCATTTTGAGTAACACTGGACACTGTGAACTGTTAGGACACTGAGTTGGAGCATATTGACAGTTTCTTTCATGATCACTAACACACAAGTAAATAAATAATTTTGTCAAAAAATGTATCTTCTTGCACAACAAGGACACTAAGAAGTATTATCAAGCAAAAACTGCCTGGAACATCACAATATTACAATAACTTTAATGTACTTACTGCCTGTTTGAGAGTTTAAATGTGACAGGACAGCCAGCAGTATTCACTTCGTAATCATAAGGTGTTCCTGACTTTAATTTACACCCATATTTGCAATGGATGTACAGTTCACCTATCTGCTCAGATACCTGGCAATAATGTAAAGCAAACAAAATTAATGCAAGCAAATTCTCACAAAATACTGATAAAAATCACCATCTCGTCGTTTCAGCAGCTAGCATGGCTGCAATAGAAAATTATTTTTAAGGAGGATAGTAAATTTCTCAATTTTTTTTTTGCAACATGTTGTTAGATAAAAGCAAGCATGATACAAAATAAAGCAAATACAGTCAACTCTCTCCAAGACGGACACCTTTGGGACCGGCACTAAGTGTCCGTCTTAGAGAGATGTTCCTCTTATAAAGAGTCAAAAAAAGGGAATAAGCAAGGGCAGGGACCAACTCTAGGTGTCTGTTTTACAGAGGTGTCCGTCTTATAGAGGTGTCCGTTAAGAGAGAGTCTACTGTATGGGTAAAAAAAGGTACTATCCTCAGGACTTAAATTTCTTCCCTGGTCACTCAAGAAAATGCACGGAAATTTAGGGCCCCCAAATTAAATTTTTCCCCTGGGTGGCCCAATAATTATTATTACCCCACCACTAGAGGGATTCAGGTGATTGCCCTTTGCACATCATTTAATTCTACTTTCACCCACAAGCATTGTTTCGTCTTATCTCTGGCTGCCTATTCAATGTTTTTCTCCTTTTTCAATAAATTTTCTGGAGAACACTGGTTACAGGTAGAGAAACTTGAAAAACATTGTATGGAATGTCCAAAGAACTTCAAACATAATTAATTCAAAACAAAGCAGCTAAAAAGCTTTCTTGCTTCCAAACTAATTCATGATGGAGAACCACGGGGGATAAAGTCAAGCTTCTATAGAATGATACACTTGACTGTCCATGAACTTGCCTTGGAAAGCAAACACAACTAAACTGGGTAAACAATGAAAATAGACATTATATATAAACATACAGATCAAAAACATTTGGTAACAACAAACTTTGTAGTAAAAACCACAAGCCTGTGAAATTTGATTATTTGACATTATTTATATGTCTACAAGAGTGTAGGCAATGGATAATTGTGGTTGATTTTTTATAAAGATTGATCTTGTAATAAATACATGTACTTACAGCAAGGTTAGCAACAACTATTGAAAGCTTATTATCATCAACTGGACACTTTTCCAAGGCTCTTGAAAGGACACAATTTCGACAAAAGGTATGCTAAAAAATAACAACAACAAAAAGCACATAAAAACTACATACATATAATACAAAACAGCAACATATTAAGCATAACAAGATACAGAAAAGTGTCCTTGTTAAAAGTAATGTAATTATGGACTGTGACTAAACTAACCATAATAGAAACAAATTCTTTCAGAACAAAGTAAAGATGAATTTTAGGGTTGCCATCTATTAGAATATTTGCTGTCTTTTCCTTAAACCATATGATTGCCACTGATCTAACATTACTTACATTTTCCTCAGCCTGACTTTAGCTGGCCACGTCATATTTAGCTCTCTATATTTTTTTACAGGGGTTCAAGGGGTTTGAAATGGCTTTAAACAATGTTGAGTATAGCTCTTATAGGCACCATGGCGTTTCTATTTCCCTGACGTTTCCACTTTTATGGAACGCCATTTATGACAAAAAGATTATATGCAAATATGAAGAAGAACACAAATATTCGCATTAGAAAATAAATATTTATATCAAGATAAGAATATATGGGTATTATAAAACATACCTAACTATATTTTCGCATCAACATATGTACGTTATAGACACGATGCATAACGTAAATATACGTTATGTTGCTTACCGCGCAAATACGTTATGAACACTGATTACGTTAAGACACATAACCTACGTATACGTTATGCGTAACATGTAAATATACGTTATGACGCTGCGTTGACCGTCCAGCGGTTCCAGCGAAAAGATGTGAGCATGCCCAAGGCGTCGGGAAAAAGGCGCACGGAAAAAATGCAGAAATGGCAGCTATGACATTTTTGCAGTAGCACTTGCTTTCATTGAAGATGGCAGGCACTGGCTATGATGCGTCGTCTTCTTCAACCATCAACCAGTTAGTTTGCGGACTGATGGAAAACCCTCACTTTCTTGATGTTCTCGAAAGAACATCAAGAAGAATAAATTCTCCTCAAATGACATCCCAACCGGCCGCCTCGTGCAGCACCTCAAGCTCACGGCCCTTTCAGACGCCTGTGGAGGAATTTAGGTCTCTGTTTAGAACCGGAACGGTATCATCGACGAGGCGGCCGGTTGGGATGTCATTGTCATAGCTGCCATTTCTGCATTTTTTCCGCGTGCTTTTTTCCCGACGCCTTGGGCATGCTCACATCTTTTCGCTGGAACCGCTGGACGGTCAACCCAGCGTCATAACGTATATTTACATGTTACGCATAACGTATACGTATGTTATGTGTCTTAACGTAATCAATGTTCATAACGTATTTGCGCGGTAAGCAACATAACGTATATTTACGTTATGCATCGTGTCTATAACGTACATATGTTGATGCGAAAATATAGTTAGGTAGTTTTATAATACCCATATATTCTTATCTTGATATAAATATTTATTTTCTAATGTGAATATTTGTGTTCTTCTTCATATTTGCATATAATCTTTTTGTCATAAATGGCGTTCCATACACTTTCATGATGTCACAGGAACAAGCACCATTCCATACTGGATGATGTGTCACTTATCTAGATCTGGATGGTTGTTCATCATGGTGAAATACTAGCTGTGTTCTTAAAGGCTACGCTGACTTGACAAAAACTAAGACTTTACTGGCCATTTTGCAAAAGTCTCAGTAGTGAAAAGTGCTATCATTACCAACAGTAAGTTCAAGAAACAGAACATTATCCTCACCCCACATGATGTTATGACGGGATCCTTAAACACACGATGACACAAAGTGCAGAACAACTTAGATGATGGCTCATCCACAAACAACACAACTGCCTGCAATGTGCAACATTGTTATTAGTATACTACCAGCGAACAGAAGGACAAAAAGTATCCAACATGCCACACTGCCTAGCCAAGTTATTGCCTTGCACTTTAAATACAGATTTATCAATTTAAATTATTGGTAAATAAATTTACAGTGGGATGTGACTATTACATGAATTCTACTGAGATGTATGTTTTCAAATAACTTTTATATTTTTGGCTCCTGAGGGGTCTCTAAAGGCCGATTCACTGGGTGCAACTTGGAGCCTGTCGTTATCTTTATCACAGAGTATAAATCAAACATACAACAATCACAAGTCAGACATATTAACATGACGTAACTCTGTTGTAGAAGTATTGTAGGCAAATTTTATGCTTCAAAGATGTGCAGGGTGCAAAGATAGTCAGTCTTACAGCTTGCCCTTCAGGCAAGCAGTAGCTAGAATGTACTAGCTAGCCCGAGAGTCATTTAACATTCTATTCCGTAACTGGCCCCCAAAGAAATTCTGACAAGCAGGATTAATAAATAATATTAATCATCATTTAGTATCTATGTTATTACACCATTAGTTATTGTTAATTAATATATTAATTACTTGTTTTCATGGTAATAATTAGTAGGAAGTGTAATAATTCACTTCTTCAGATCTGCTTGAAAAACAGCTTTCAATCCACATGAATTTATTAGGACAATTTATCATACAGTACTTCTGTGAGTTGAATTCCCTACCCCTTCCCCCCCCCTCCCGCCACCTCTCAAAAAAAATTAATGATCCACTTTCCACTAGCCTGATTGGAACATCCACCAGCCCTGGGCTATGGGACACAACTTTCTTTGCACAATAATGGATGTGTGTAAATCAGTTTCAACACTGTAGCATGCATTTCAGGTGTTTTCACATAATTTTATTTTGGCAGGTTGATATTTGAATATAACTGTAGGACAAAAGCGTATTTGTTATATTTGAATATAACATCATTTTTAAAAGTCAGTTTTTACTTTTCTCTAAATTCCAGTGTTTGCAGAATAAAGAATGCAGGATGGTGAAGAAAAATATGACTTAATTAGTGTACAACAAACCTCCTCCTCCTCTTCAGCACAGCTTGAAATAGAATGGTGAGAACGAGCTGATATTGTTGAGGATGTTCGGTTATGACGTTTAAAACACACAGCATCAAAGCTCCCCTTAAATGAAACAACAAAATTTCCATGTTGCCACCAGCCTCATTTGGGTCTCTAGGTAAGTAATATGTTAATGACATAGCTGGATGGCCAGTTTAGGGAGATTAAACCCTAGCCTTGAATATACAGATGTTTGTAGGGCTTTATTCCACATTCCTCCCTCATGAACACAGGGCTGTCACTAAGACTTCAAGTTGCCAAAGGAAGGTGGGGAACTGAACAGCTAGCTATAGGAAGTTCTTTTGTTTCTATTTTCCTTTAAATTTGTTTAATTCCTCATGAAAGCCAGTTTAAAATTTTGCCGATCGAACGAAGATCCCAAGCGGAGTGCGATTTTGCTTTGGTCATAAATCTTTCTAGGCAACACTTAAATGGCAGCTTGAAATTCAGCCACAAACAACAAAGAAGACACCAACAAGAAACAGTGGAGATGAAAGGCGAATATGGTTATTCACTCTCTGTGAAAAAAGTGTTTACTGTTGCTGAATTATGACCAGTTCTTCTCATGTAAATGCAGAGAATTGCAAGCTGTACAACACTGTCAGCAAGAGACTTTGCGATGGTTTTGCGAGACACTTAATATTGCTTTGTCTGCCATATGTTCTTCAAATGAGATGAACAATGAGTTAAAGTGGAGCTTTTACCACAAAAACCCTGCTTATTTTCCTCAAATACATCTTTAAATTCTTGATAAATACAGCTCTACCAGCTTCAAACAGCATCTACCCGCAGAATTTCATGGGCAAAAACGTTAAACAAAATTAATTTAACACGCATGTTTATCAATTGGTGTTGTGGCGCAATAGACAAGGTGATGACCTTACACGTTAATGGTCCAGGGTTCAACTCTTGCTGGGGGAAACTTTTTTCTTTTCTTTTTGGTTGTTTTGTTTTTGTTTTCTTGTTTTTTTTTGTTTTTACCATATTTTACCCATTGGCTGGTTTCAGTTTAGTCATATTGCTTCCCCTCACCACAGCCTCGCAAAGCGTTGTGCTAAACAAATTTCTAGTATAAAAGTAGCATGGGGTGATGCTTAGAGCAGACAAGGGAAATCCAAAGCCCATGGTCCTTAGTGACCGACTTGCCTGAACACTATTTGTTGAGGGAGGATATGTATGATGAAGCCTTACATGACTATGTAACATGTCTATGTAGGAGGCTAGGATAATAGCCACAATGAAAAAAAGCCACGCTTCACAGAATAAAACCATGTTACATTCACAAATGATTGTTTTTGTGCTCTGGAAAGACCATGATAATAAATGCTGACTTAGAGCAAAAAGTTTTGGCACAGTGAAATCTTTCAGAGCATTATCTCAATGTCTTTATTGGTCACATGATCATCCATGTACGACTAAGTCCCACAGTGAACAGGAAAAGAGGCCTGGACCTACCACCTGTATACAGCACTGTATGTTAAGGTGATAGACGATTGTGTGACTAATAATAAGCTATCTTATCCTACCCCACTAACCGCATTTTAGATAGGAACAAAAGTTAATTCAGCAGTGCAATTAGCTGATTCATATCCTAATTAGGGTCCATTGTATATTCATGTATCATTAATTATGACAGAATACACTTTGTACCTGATCTGAGCCTACAGTGACATTGACATCTCCTTCTCTTCCCAGTCCACTAGTGCTATTACTTGATGACACACATATCATACTATTGGACTGATTCCTCTTAAGGCTAACATCACGATCACCATCGACTGAGTGAAGGAAAAAAGATGCAAAGACAAAATAAATAATCCAAAAAAGAAGTGATAAATCACCATTAACTAACTGGGTGAATTCTATGTATTCTTAAGTGATTACATATATATTTATTTTTTGCACTCGATCGCATCAATAATTTTTCAATATTGGCCTTGCTCTCTTTTCGTATACTTAGATACTTTAGTAGCTTATGTTTTATGCTGTATGTTTTGTATTTGTAATTTTGTGAAGTTTTAGTCTGGTATTTGTCAGTGCATGTACACTATATAAGTAATATTAATGAGTTGATTTTGTAATGTAATGTAATTTGAAATGAAAGAAAATAATAAAAAAAATTTTTAAAAAAATCTAATATTAACAGAGAGTTTGCATTATCATTCAGGGCTGTCACTAAGTACAGGGGACAGTGATTTCCCCCAGGTACTATGAGCACAACCTACCGGCTCTTTTCATGGGAAACAAAAAGAAAGATGTTCATTTGCAGTGGTAGGAATGGACAACAGAGGGTATTGTGTGTCTCCATCTTAGGAGGGGGTATGTATGTCCATAGTCTGAACTTCAAGGCCACGTTTCGTGTTCTGAGGAGAAGGCCACGTCACGGTCAGTATTTCACTATAGTATTTGCGATTGTCCTTATTGCTGTCACAGTCTCAACCTATCTTCATGCTGATTGTCGCTACTTCATTTGTTTTATGTCACTGTTTCAAGACCATGTTGTTTGACAAAATTTTATACTAACAGGGCATCAAGGAAGGTCTGATACTCACGCTACCAAGATTTCAAGTTGCCATGTACAACGTATATTCAATTACTTGACAGTGGCGGATCTAGGGGAGGGGCCTGCCCCCCTCCCCCCCTTATTTTTAGACCAAGGCTGAAAAAATTTTTTTTGGAGACTGGGCCCCCCAGTTATCTCAGGACCTGGATGGCTGGGCCCCGCTTATCTGAAGGTCTGGATCTGCCACTGCTTAAGAGGGGGGGGGGGTGAAATTGAACAGCTAGGAAGTTCATTTGGTCTAATATCTTTTAGCATCCGAGGGAAATCCCCCCTTAGTAACAGCCCAGATCTTGTTAGTTTGACCACAGTAGTGTATAGCTCAATTTATGACATCTGTCAATGAATTACTTATATGCACAAGCACATTGAAAAACTTCAATTTTAATTAACACCACAAAATGCCATTACCCCTTGTTATTGTAGTCACTGGTGAAAATGCAGATGTTCCAAACGTGGTTTCCATACGTGCCTGTGAAAAAAAAAAAAAACAGTTTCAATTTAAAATTGTAGGGAGCTATTTTATATGTCACCCTCTTACACTTAACGGCACAAAGAAACAGTCATGGTTTGAAAATAAAGCATGGCTTGCTCTTGTTTCAATATACATGTACAGACCCACAACTTACAAAAGTGGTGTACTTTTTAATGAATACAAATACTGTAAGCCCTTGTACTTATATGAACATTAATCAAGCAAACATTGAACAATTTCATCTTCATTACAATCTACTTTCTGCCCAGAGACAAAATTTATGAGTTTTTGGTCACTCTAAATTATGTAGGTAAAGCACAATATTATTGAGCAAATTTATTATTTTGTAAAAGCTGTGGCCTAAACATTTTAAGTGACAGTGAATTCATGACCAAAGCCTGTTAGAAAGGTGTTGAAAAGTAATGTTAGTTATTGAGAACGTTTAGCATATTTATAAAAAAAATGTTTTAATTGTTATTAAAGAATATACACACCTATGCTATCATTCATTGCCCCAATTAGTGAATTCGCAACTTATTCTCTATACTATTTGTTTCTTTTCAAATTTTGCTTTTTAGAAGTTTCTGATACCAAAGGTCTCAATCTAGTAGGATGTAAGATCCTTATAACTATGAAACTAGCAACATGTTATGAGATTCCTCATGGGTGAGCACGTTACTTAGAGTAATAAATAAGTGACTGTTAGTCCAATAAGCCTAATGGATTTCATGTTTTACACCTAGTTGACCATGTTTAGAAACTGGTGTGCAAAAGAATTCAAGAATTGCTCTGAATCCATACAGTTAAATTAATGTTGATTACGGTTCCAGCAGTACAACTGAGCCAAAAATCTCCAATTTAGATTCACAAATCATGCAGTTAGCTCTGCCAAGGTCTGCCTTTAACATAACCATATCATGTGATAATAAAAAAGGTTGTGCTAGAGTAAGGAACCAGCCAAAAAATAAATTTATATGATTTAAAATACTATACCATTGTAAGCATTTGTTGACAACTTCGCTGCTTCTTTAAATGAATCAGAGTCTGATACCATGTCTGAATCAGAGTCATACTCCATGCTGTGCCATTGTCAAAACTAACTGTTACTCAAATTTTATAGGCTGATGCAGTTGAATGGAAACATATAAACTTACTGGGTGGCCTTTGGATTTACATTGAAAATTTAAAGTTTATATCAAACTATCTCTTACTATTGCACACAAGAACTCTTCCAAGTCTTGTGTTAGCCTGGGAAAAAATACAAGGCTTAGGCTTTTTTATCTTAATGTAATACAAACTAACATCTAAATAGGTCTCATATATATCTATATACAAGTTTGAAGACATTCAACCCAAAAAAATTAATCCCAGAAAAGGAAAAGATATTATTTATTTTCCAACATTGAATGAAGGAAATCGAAAGGTAAACCATTTTGATGTGATGTTTAATCTGAAGTAAGTTTTAAGGCTACTTAATTTACTCACTTAAAGTTAATTGACTAAAATGGAACACATTTTTTCATTCTAGAATTTATCTTAAGATGTTTCTATTTCAAAATTCAGTATTAACAAAAGAGAAAATGAAAGTTGTACCGACACCGGAATATCATTAATAATGTAGCATGTACAAACCAGCATGCGAAAAACATCCCAGGATCATGATCAATGACCATGGAAATTTTCAACATTTATTTACCACTAAGTTCTTTTCAAATGTACAATACAACTGAAAACACACAAGGAGTGTTCGAGTTAAGGGTAGAAAAACCACCTACGAAACCTATGATTTAACGCTATATCAACACGAAAGAATAAACCTTATTTAAGCCTATATAAATTCAAATAAATTAAAAGTTAGGCTCACTAAAGGACTTTTGACCAATTACGTGCGGGCTCGCCATCTGCTTCTCGAACGTCGCGTAGTAAAATTTAAAAGGTATTGAATTTTTTCAAACATTTTTAAAGCCACAACAGGAAAAAAAAAAACATTACCTGACCGTTCACAGTAAAAGTAAGTCAAAACGTCTCACCTTAGTGTTGATGGACTCATAAGATCGCGATCTTGCGTCGGCTTGCATATTGCCAATGATCCCGGACATTTTTTCATTCCTTCAAACAGGGTATATCACGCGAAAGATGAAGTGCTTCGATATTACTCTGAAGCAAAATAGCTACACCAGCCACCAAGCTAATCTTGCAAGCATTTCTTAATAGGCTTTCAGCTCATTTCGGTGGTTACAAATAGCTTTTTTAAAATGATGGCTTCTACCTCTTCGATCAAGTTGACGTTCTTGCTCGGTTCCAACCCTCTTCCTGTGGATCGGAAACTGCGTGCGCAATTTTTTATTTTGGAAGAAAGCGCGGGAAATACGTACCGTAAATCCTCTATTAAGCCCCCGAAGGGTTTATTTTTTTCAAGCACTTTTGAGGTGGGGGGGGGGGATTAAATATAGCGAAAAGCATCAACAAGAGCAAGGCTTCTCGAGGACAGACTTGTGGTTCCCGGGCGTTATACTGCTTTTTCTAACAATAAGAAAATCCGGCTGGGTAACAATTCTCAACAGAGAACTAGAGCGTGAAGTTGAAAAAGTTAAGCACATAAAGTTGGAGGTCATGCGGCCGAAGACCAAAAGCAATATGAATTTCCAGCCTGAATAAACCTTAACTGATCAGTAAACGTTAATTGTTTGTGAGGAATAAGGATGGAGGGGAGGGGGGAGGGGCGCTTAATAGAGAAGGGGGCTTATTAACTTTCCTCTTCTAAAAAGGGCGGGGGGCTTAATAGTGAATAATTGACAAAATTATTTTGGGGATAAGGGATAAGTGAAATGTTTAGGGATAATGAACTTACGTCCTGGTTGTACATTAATCATAATCGATTCGCACTTTTTTCACTTTTCCGCGCCGTTTTTTTTTTCTTTACCCCTGACCACCTGTGTTCAGTTATCCGTTAACAAGGATCTAAGTTTTTTAATTTACTTGACATGAAGGTCAACAACTCTCAATCCCTTTCCTCAAACATGAAAACCGATCATAAATCTTTGCACCTTCGACTTTTCGCCATCTTTTCTTCAATTGATGTAAACAGCTCTAGCCCGTAGTTCGAGTAGGCCTAACCTCTCATAAGCTCCAATAGTCTCTGTTAGGTCTCCTCGCCACTTGTTTTTTTCTGCTTTTCCTATATTATTTTTAATTTCTATTACTGGGTGCCAAATAAAATGAAATAAAAACTGATCATGAACAGGAGACTAGGATGGATGAAAAGGCGGGAATATCTAAACCGTCAAGAAAAAACGTTTTTACCATACATCTCTTTTGAGAAAGGTTGTACGAAAAAATGTACCTGCAACAATCTCGAAAAGTAATATGGGATATGATCAATACACTGTTCCTGACACTGTAGCTGTCGTACCTACTTTTCCTGCCTTCCTTTACCACTCGCAAGCATAAGTCCCTCTCGTGAAATTCTTTCAAATTTCTTATCTTTGAAGAACAGTTACACTGAACTCAAAACCACCCACAATACCTTTCGGAACTGTCGCGTGAAGGTTTTGTGACAACCTTTCTTGAAATAGCTGTATTCGCAAAACCCACGAGACAATGACTGCATGGTTACTATGCTATATTGAACTAAAACCAAAAAAAACGAACAGAAAAATCATATATTTTGCTTCGGCTGATACTTTCAGCAAATGATTTCAATCACTGCAGTAATTTTTTGGACTGTTATTAAGTCTAAAATTGAAAACGCCATAAAAACCAGGAGCCGCTCGTTTCGAGCCATGTCCCTTTTTTCACTGTTCTATTTTTTTTTTGCGAGATTTTACATGACCATAATGGTAGCGACAAATGTAAAAGGCAGCAAATTAACTGACAACCTCTTTCCCAGGGTTCTCTCCTACCCACCCCAAGGAGCGAGAGAGGGTAGGGTAGAAGAGAACCCTGGGAACGAGGTAGATTAACTGATACCCACTGTTTACAGCTGTTACTTAAAAATCAGTATGCGGCACAAGATTCGAACCCAAAATGATTTGAGCTGAGAACGCTAAGAGGGAACGGCTAAGAACGTAAGCAAAGCAAAAAATTCGAGTGCGAAAGCAGTAGAAAGAAGTAGCGAAAAGATTTGCGTGAAACACAAGGGATTTCTTTTACGTCCCAGAGAAAGGCGGAGGCTTTGAAGGGGAAGAAGTACAATTATAGAAGAACTTTCATTCAGGGGGGGAGGGGGACGCATTTGCTGTATTTAGAAAACTTTTGTGCAACATCATTTTCCAAAAAAAGCGTTAAACATGGAAGAGATTCGTTACAATCAATCCTGAAGCCATTGTTTGCAATTTTTCAAGACCCACACGCAGTATTGGTCAGCGGCTTTACCCATATACATAGCCTGCGAAAACAGGCTGTCGCGAAAACATCCGTTTCTTCTTGCTCTTCACACAGAGTTCACGATTTTCACAACATTGCCCACAGTAATATTAACACTTCATTTGATCCCCTAAAATTTTATAACCATTCTTTATAAGCTTTTTCTTTGGACTACTGTAATACCCAGGCGAAATTTAAATCAATGGCTATGCAACTTTTGGGGGGGTGGACAAGGTATCTTTTAGGCAAGTTGATAGCTATGAATTTCTAGCGTTTGTCCAGGTTTTGTCAGTGAGTGCAAAATGCTGGCTCAGCAGATCTTGTTGAGTTCGCCTTCCAAAGCTGCTATAGAAATCTTGCACCAATCCAACAGGTTTTTGATATGATTTGACTTTCAGTTGTTTTATGGCATTCATTTTCAGAAGTAAAAACCGGATTTTTTAAATGCTTATTATGCATTCGAAGATTCGAAACCGTAGCGATTCTCACTGCAAAAGTGACTACATCGCAACTACTAAGACAAAAAAACATGGTTCTTTATTATTGTCTTTTTAAAAAACATTTTTACCTGACAAATAACGGCTTCCACTATTCTGTTCACTAATTAAATCTATAATAACAGGAAAAAGGGGCCAGAAGTCGCCTACATATTACGTCTAATTCGCTATACATTCTACTTCCTCGTTTAATACACTATTCATTTTTTTTTTCAATGCTCTTTTGGATTAAACATTTTATAAGAAGACGAAATATCACTAGGGATGTAATAAAACTTTTTAGCTTTGAGATACTTTCTGGTTTAGTATTGTATGTAGACTATATCATGAAGGTGATAACAAAAACCGCTCGGCGTGTTCAATCATGAAGGACAGTAAAATCAATACTTTTAAAATAACATGAATTTTTAGCTGAGAGGTATGGTAAACTAACTCGATAAACGAAAAAGTTGCCTTAATGTTTCTTTTACAGCTTGCCTTAATTCTCTGATCTTCCAACCGTAAAGCAATGGATTAAAGGAAGAGTTTAGATAAACCAAAGTAGCCGCAAATTGCGAAGCAAGCCAAACCGAAGAAGACACCCTTCTTCCTCTTTGAGATGCCAATATCATTGCGGTAATAAAGAACGGCAGATAGCAAGCAACCAATGCTACCTGCACCCACAGTGCACTGTACACTGCCTTTCTGTATCGAGTTGTGGTCAAGGCAACGGCTTGGCTCGGTTGCTCTTGAGAAATGTGGCTGTGTACTTGATGTTGGTTATGGCGAAGAGTGATAAAAATTTTTGTGTATGAAAAAAAAGAAGTAAAAAGACATACAATGATTACTGTGCCAAGGAGCCGTGATGGAACATGACTCTGAGGATTCCAATAGTAGATTAATGTGAATAACGCGAGGACAATGGACAAAATCCACATGGCAGCTACAATTAAATATGTTCTCCTCAAAGTTACAACTTGTCTGTATCTAATTCCAAGCACAAGAGCGAGAAGTCTGTCAACGCTTAATGCAGTGAGTGTAAATAAAGAAACCACACATAGAAGTAAACCTGAGATAAAATTTGTTACACTTGCGTAATAGCAAATATTCCATTTTTCGTTCAGCATCGAAATCCAAGAAACAACATTCAGAGGCTCCACAACGATACCAACACACAGATCAGTTAACGCGAGGTTACGATACAGGAGTTTGGACGGCGGACGAAGTGAAGATTCTTTGTGTAAGGCAACTAGGATCAGACTGTTGCCCAGAAATGCAGCAATGGAGAAAAAGATATTTATCGCTGGAAGAAAGAGCAGTTTACCATGTACGACTCCAGTAAATTCTGCCGAGCAGGACTGTTCTAGGGATGTCTTTTGGTTTTCATCTTCCGTAATATTGCTTAGTTCTGCCATTTCCGTCTGGCTGCAAGATAAAATGACTACCTGTACGTTCGCGCTTTTTTCCTGTATTTATTTCTTTTCGTATATTTTAATTTGCCTGTCAACTGTTCTGCTAATTAAGAGACTAATTTTGCTTTGTTTACTTATTCCAACTGCTTTTACAGGTATTAACAAAAGGGGCCAAATTCTGCACTATAGGTTCTAAAGTTTAAAAGCTGGAGGAGCATTAAACCCTGGGGGGGGGGGTACTCCCATACATTACCTACACGGGTATGTGCCGCCCAACGGGGTCGTGATTTTGAAGCTCCTGATTTAGAATGGGGTATCCATTTCAGAGTCGTTTTCTAGAACGGGGTATAATATTTCGAACAAACGAAAGCTCCAGTTTTGTAAGCAGCCATTTGAAATTATTCAAGGACAGATTGCTTTTAAAAATACGGTTCAATGCGTTAACAAGCAAACTGTTGTACTCTTTGCACCTTAGAACGGAGTATAAAAAATTGGCCCATTTCTAGAACGGGGTATCAGTTTTAGGGCGAATTCTAGAAAGGGGTATCAATTTTAGGGGAAATTTTTTAGAACGGGGTGCCAATTTGGAGTCCCGCGCGGCACATACCCACCCAAAAAATACCCAAGTGTCCCCCCGGGGCATTAAATAACAAAACAAAACAGAATTTATACTCATTAAGTCATAAAATCATTCCAAGAAAGAGAGGCTTAGCTTAAATTGGACACAATGTCGATTTTCAGAATCTCTTTAGTTTCGGGTCCTGGTGGGTATGATATAAAATTGTGAATAACTTCATTGCGACATAGAAATTCTAACCAGTAAAGATTAAAAAGGCGTCTCTTACGTTATTTAGCTGATTCCTATATAACATTTTTCAGATGGTTAAAGCACATGTTTGTATGTTTTATGGTTTCAATTAAATTGCTGGCATTGTTAGGTTTGACTGATGAGCCTATAAACATTAATCGTAAAAGGAGGCGTAGAAAGGAAGCCTTTTAATTAGAGGTGCAAACCTGTCAGGATGTCTGTAGATTGTAATTTTTTGGACTGTTATAAAGTCGGAAATTGAAAACGCCATAAAAACTCGTGTCGATTAAGAGAACTAAGATCCAAAACTCATGGGTATATACGACATAGCTAAGCATTAAACGTTTTCTTTATCAAAGATTCAACATCATCTTTTATTAAAATTATAACGGATGTCATTTTTTAGTAACAGAACTGCCCTTATCAGCATAAACACCTGGCTGCTGTTTATGTTAATATACGTTTAAGGCGAGAAAATATAAAAATTCATAACATGTAGTTTTTTATTCGTATTTTTAGTTTTATTGCCTGTACCTTTTTTCACTGCTCAATTTTTTTTTTGCGAGATTTTACATGACCATGATGGAAGCGACAAATGTAAAAGACAGCAAATTAACTGGTACTAACTGTTTGCAGTTATCACTTAAAAATCAGTATGCGCCACAAGATTCGGACCCAAAATGATTCGAGCTGAGAATGCCAAGCGGGGACCGCTGAGAAGGTAAGCAAAGCAAAACTGAATACGAGTGCGAAAGCAGTAGAAAGAAGCAGCGAAAAGATTTGCTACACCAAACACAAAAGTGGGAGTCGTATAAGCAGGCTGTTGCTACTACTCAGTGCTCAAAAAAAAAAATTGAATACATAATTAATACAGCTTGTAAAAGGTATATTGAAAACGCCATGAAACATCGTTTCCATTCATAGAACTAAGCTCCAAAAACGATGGGTATAGCTGACTTAGCTAAGTATCAAACGTATTCACTCTCGGAGATTCAACATTATTTTTCTTAAAATTATAACGGGTGTCATTTCAGTGTTCTTATTGGGAGAACGGCCAGTAATCATTATAGACACCTAGCTGCTATTTAGGATAATCAGTACGTTTATGGCGAGTAAATAAGAGTTCATAACGCGTAATTTTTATTCGTATTTTTACTTTCTTTTCCTGTACATTTTTCACTGCTCTTTTCTATTTTTTTTTTTTGCGAGATTTTACATGACCATATAAATGGCAGCGACAAATGTAAAAGGCAGCAAATTAACTGACAACCTCTTTCCCAGGGTTCTCTCCTACCCACCCCACGGAGCGAGGGAGGGTAGGGTAGGAGAGAACCCTGGGAACGAGGTAGATTAACTGATACCCACTGTTTCCAGCTGTTACTTAATAAAAATCAGTATGCAGCACAAGATTCGAACCCAAAATGAGTCGCGCTCAGAATGTTAAGAAGGAACCGCTAAGAACGTAAGCAAGGCAAAAAATACGAGTTCTAAAGCAGTAGAAAGAAGTAGCGAAAAGATTTGCGTGGAACACAAGGGATTTTTTTTACGTCCCAGAGAAAGGCGGAGGCTTTGGAGGGGAAGAGGTACAATTATAGAAGAAGCTTAATTCATAGGGGGGAGGGGGGCTCATTTGTTGTATTTACAAAAATTTTGTGCAACATTATTTTCCAAAAAAAAGCTTTAAACGTGGAAGAGATTCGTTACAATCAATCCTGAAGCCATTGTTTGCAATTTTTCAAGACCCACACGCAGTATTGGTCAGCGGCTTTACCCGTACATAGCGTGCGACAACATCCGTTTCTCCTCGCTCTTCGCCGATGGGAACGTTTCGCACGAAACGTCCCCAGCGGCGAAGAGCGAGGAGAAACGGATGTTTTCGCAGGCTACCCACACAACATTGCCCACAGTCATGATATTAACACCTCGTTTGATCCCCTAAAATTTTATAACCATTGTTTATAAGCTTTTTTCTTTGGACTACTGTGATACCGAGGCGAAATTTAAATCAATGGCTATGTAACTTTTGAGGGGTGAGCAAGGTATCTTTTAGGCAAGTTGGCAGCTGTGGAAAAAAAAATTCTAGCGTTTGTCCAGGTTTTGTCAGTGACTGCAAAATGCTGGCTCAGCAGATCTTGTTGAGTTCGCCTTCCAAAGCTCCTATAGAAATTTTGCCCCAATCCCACAGGTTTTTGATATTATAGGAATTTTGGATTTGACTTTCAGGTGTTTTATGCCATTCATTTTCAGAAGTAAAAACCGGATTTTTT